GAGGGGGGGAAAAAAAAAAAAAAAAAAAAACACACGGGGGCGAAGGTGGGGAGGCTGCGCCCCCCGAGGTGCGGTGGCTGCGGCGGGGTTTAACCCCCCTTTTCGCCGTATTTTGCTGTCTCCGCCTGTCCCCGGCGCGGCCGGGCGCGCTCGCTCCGCTGGCGCCAGCCTGGCTCGCTCCTTATCGGCGCCCGGGCGCTCTTAAAGCCGCAGGGCCCGGCCGCCCTGCGGGGGGAGCCCTGGCCCGGGGGGACATTCCCGATCCCGAGGGAGGTGGAAGGCGCCGGAGCTCCTGTGCTTCCCTTCTCGCTTTTTAAAATTTTATTTTTGTCTTTATTTTTGCATTATTTAATCATTGGAATCCTGGCAGATCTCGGCCCCCTTGCTAACGATCCCCTTCTTGGCACGGGCTCGGGTTTTATTTGTTTTGCAACCCGAAATCCCGCCTCGCTCTGCATCAGTTACTTGAAAGCCACTTGCATGCTGGGCGCGCGCCCTGCGCTCCCTGGCCCGTGCCCTCCCGCTTCTCCTTGCCATTGCAGCCGGGGGGGTTATTTTAGGAACAACTACATCCATGGAAGTTTTTGAGCTGCTTTCCTGCAGAGCGAGACTTTTTGCATTTTTTTTTTTGCAGCTTTTCTGGTTGCAGGGCAGGTACCAGGGTGGCCCTTTAGTCCCTGCTGTGACTTGGTGCCAGGGTGGCACCGGCTCCAGTTCTGCTCTAGATTGGGAGCTGAGGAGCCTCCTTCCCCAGGAGCACTAAGTGATCACAGGCCATAGCAAAGCCACCACCCTGCAAGTGCTAGAGCCACTTTTAATAAAATAATCCATACTGAACTGCAGTTATTATATTAAATAACTTGTTTCCAGGTCAGTGTGGGAAGTTGGAGGGCATGTGGCAGTGTCATTCGTCTGGAGCTGATACTGTGACGCTGGATTTAAATCCAGCTTCCCATAGAGGTCAGGGGAGCATCTCCTCAACGTGGTGCTGGCTCAACCCAACCAGTAGCTCTAAGTTTAGCAAGTTAAAACTTAAAAAGAAAATCACTGTAATAACTTAGCGGTGGGGAAAATCCCTCCCTCTGACATGTCCCAGAAGGTGATGGAGCTCCTTCTCGAGGAGCTCTGAGCTCTTTGCATGCTTCTCACTCCCACAAGCACAGCAAGAGCCATTTAAGTGTCCTGATTCAGCTATGCACTTCTAAGGACACCCTTAATGTGTGTGTGAGGAGCTTTGCAGAAGGGAGGCCAGGGTGAGGAGGGACGAGGCCGCTGGGCATCGCTGGACCGTGCGGCTCCTGGCTGCTTCTTGGGCCCGTGGGCTGCGGGCAGCGTGGCCAAAGCCGTGGTTTCTGCCCCCAAAACAGTGTTGCTGAGGTCCCAGCGTGTTGAACTGAGGAAGTGGCCGTGGAAGGCGGTGGTGTCGCCCAGCTGGACACTGCAGTCCCCACGCATGGGGCTATGTGGGACACGTGTCCTGCTCTCGAGGAAGGTACCGCCTGGCAGCCCCTTTGGAGAGCTGCAGCCAGCACCAAATCCTCCAGGATTTGAAAAGGTCTCGGGCTGGGCTTATTTGCAAATGGATTTTGTCATTGTTCAGACCTGGGATGTGAGACCTTGGGAGGGTCCTCGACGCAGAAGAGAAAACGCAGGGCTCTGCCTTACCAGCCGCTGCAGCACTAACGCCAAGCTCTGTCTTTTCCAGAGTCTCCACCACCTCCTTATTCCCGGCTGTCTCCCAGCGATGAGCAAAAGCCACTGGGTAGGTGTTATCCCCTTCCCTGCGCCGCTTGTGGCTTGGGTTAGGCCAAGGAGGCCTCGACGGGGCGCGTTGGGCCAAGCGGGGACTTTGCGGCCGCTCATTATTTCTGAGCAAGCGTCAGCTGATGGCTTTCAAGAAGCGAATGAATGTCAGCCTATCATGGCAAATTACTGTGCAGACACATGCATATTTTCCAAAATAATGCGAGGCGCTATTTTTAATGAAGGCGTAATGAAAGGCTGCGCGACGCCGTGTTGTGTCTGCGTGCGTAACGCGCGGGATGACAGGGAGCTGCCGGGTGCCCTTTCCATGCTGCAGGAGAACCGCCCATTACTCCCATTGCATTTATTAAAACGAAGCCTGTATAATTTCTGAGTGGCTTTTCACTTTTCCCTATGGATTATGGAAGCCTCTTGGAGCAGGCAGCCAGTGCAATGTAGGGTTTTGCTAAGGGTCTGTTCCCACCTACAAATGGCTCAGTTACCTTCAGCGGATGCCTTCTTTCATGATGCCCATATCCCAACCCAAGGAAATGGGAAGAAAAGCCCTAGGGAGGAAGGAATGTGATGCCGTGGTAGAAATGGGGCAGCTTGGCCATGGCAATGCTCCGGGCATCCTCCGCCAGCGCTCCGGATCCGCAAGCGCTGGGGAGCAGGGAAGGCTGCATCCAGCTCCCGGTGCTGGGTGACACAGGGCTCATGCCCAGTGCCCTGGAAAACAAATTTGCTGGTCGTGTTTGAGGTTTGTATTCCCTTTTTGTTAAACCTGGAAGGGAGAGAGGAGAGAGGGGGGAAAAAAAAAAAAAAAAAGGAAATCCAGGCATCCCTCCTGCCCTCCCCCTTCTGAGGAAATTCCCTTCAGCAACTGCCTGTGCTGCAGGGAGAGGAGATAGGGAGCAACACGTGATTTTTATTAAAACAACAGCCGGAGACTGAAATTGGCTTCAGTGGCTTATTGGATTGGAAAAATAATAGTTAATCGGTGAGCAAACAGTTGAGCGCTTAATTAGAGGGGTGTAAGCAAGGCAGAATAACAAAGACTCTTAACTTGTTAAAACAAAGTTTCCTTCGCTTCAGCAAAGAGGAAGGAAGGAAGGAAGCAAGAATAAACAGCTTCAAGAATTTTAATGGTGATAATTAAGTATAGTAACTATGAATTGTTTAGAGGCTTAATGTAACCTTATCCAGTAAGCACCAAGTTCCTACTTGTTTGATCAACTTAGCTGCAGTTATTTTTGTGGTCGGGGCAATTGCAGCTCTTCATTTGCATGGCAGGGGTGGAAAGTTAAGCCGGGCTTTCTGGCCGGGCTGGCGCCGGGGCCGCGGGGCCGGGGCGGCACCACTTAACGCCCTTCTCCCTTTCTCGGTTCTTCTTGCAGATCTCTCCGATTCCACGTTGTCTTACACTGAAACAGAGGCCACCAACTCGCCCAACGTCACCCCCGGAGACTTCTCAGGTCGGCAGCCGCTCGCGGCGCCCGCGGGCAGGGGAGCTGGAGGGCGGCCGCGCGCTCCTCCCGTGCGGGTTTGGGGCAAATAGGAGGGAAATTGGCAGCTCTTGGAGGCAACGGGGCACTGTTGGGGCGAGGATGCTGCTCCAGCCCCATTGCTCTGTTTCGGGATGGGGTTTTTGTGGGTACCGCTGTGCTTGCTTATCCTCCGTGCGCGGGTAGCAGCGCTCGCTCCGTGCTCACCTTCCCTCTCCGCATCCAGGAGCCCGTTCCTGGCGTTCCCAGGCCTGCAGTTTCCTTGGGATGTTGGAACACATGGCAACGCGCGGTGTCTTACAGGGGTGTTGAGGCACCGCGGCCTCCTGCTCGCTTTCCCGGCCCTGGAGAGGAGCCGGGCCATCGGGAATGCGCGCTTGCAATTCCCAGCAAACGTTCCTGGAGCCGGCAGTGTCGCCAATGCTCCCTGTGCCCCTGGCTTTGATTGCAAGCCGATAAGAGACGTTAATTACAGCAGCCGAGGTTGGAATTTGGGGCTCCGAAGGATGCCATGGCTCAGCTTCGGTCGCAGCTGGGCTCTTTATGGCACATCTGGTGGGTTTGCTGGAACAGGGCAGAGACTTCAACTTTTCCTTGAGCAACGCGATGATAACGTGACCGCGATTGCGCTGAAACTGGACACCGCCTCTCCCCCCGCGTCGCTCCCAGCGCTGCAACTTTTAATAAGAGTCTGGGGCTGCGTGATTTATTTTTCCCCAGTGCTCCTGATTGCTGAAAGAGGATAAGAGTTTCACTGGAGTTAACCCATACTTGTCATCACTGGAAAGTTTAAAAGGAGGGGGGAAAAACACCCAATAACCTCAGGCTCTGCTCTATCTGCCATATTTTAATTTGTTTATTCGCTGTTTCAGCTTTTTTAATAGGTCTGCTTGAAACGTAGGCCTGGGCAGATGATGCATCAAGCATGTGCTCTTCCCTGCCTATCCCTGTGTGTACCAGGGGAACGAAGTGCGCGTTCAACTCCCGTTCCAAAAATAAGTACATTTTGGATCTAGCATCAAGCCACTACTATTTATTGCTTCAGCTTTGATCATCAAAAAGGCTTTTCCTACTAAAACCACAAAATTCAATTTTGGATAACAAAGAGAACCATTCTTTCCCTGGTACTCGTTTACTTGATGAACTTCTAAACAGGAAGTTTTCTCACAAAGTCAAAAGATTATCTCAGTCATATGTATAAAAATGGAAAAAAAATCCCCTCTTTTTGAAATAGACCTTTTCATGACTGCAGTCTTTCTGTGAAAATATGGAAAAGGCTTGAGTGAGTTAAAAAGCTCTCTATGAAAATAGCGAGTTATGGATGGTGCTTTGTGCTGCTTGGGAAGTGAGCATGGACAAGAAAATGTCCCATCTTTTCAGCAACGTTTCCCTTATGACCTTACAGCCTTTAGCTAGCGGTTGGTGCAGGTTGTTAGTATCGGTGCAAGCATCTGCATGGGGAGCTAGGCTGGCGGTGGATAATATCCCAAACTTCCATGTTGGAAGTTCAAGGTGCTTTGGTGGTGCCTCTACTGCAAGGAGACCCCATTTGTGCAGTTGCGATGTTCCCGTGGGATGGGGCCTTTGGAAGTGGACGTGATTGGGTTGAGGATGGTCCTGATTCTTCAGGAAGACACAATGTCTGGGACAGATCGGGATTGCTTGGAAAAGGGCTGGACATGTGCTCGATCCCCACGTTTATAGCTGCTTGGTCGAAACAGCAGCCAGGGAGGTGAGGGAGAGCCGTGCCGCTCACGGAGCCATGTGCATGGTCCCATGCCATGGTCCCATCCATCCCGCTCCCGCAGCTGGTGGGATCCACACGGGATGCTGCAGGAATGTGTGCGGTGCTGCTTACTGTTCTCAAGCCCATGGGATCTTGGCATAAATCCCCTTGCTACCTGCTAGACCCTGGCCAGGCGCAGCCCAGCAAGTGCATGGAGCCCAGCATGGAGGCCCCCAAAAAGCACGGGCCAGCTCCGGGCTG